TATCAGCTCCTCATTTTCCCCCTCCCTCCTCCTCCCTTCCTCCCTCATGGAACCTTGATAATTTATAAATTTTTTTTTCCATGTCTGCACTGTCTGATGTCTCCCTTGACCCCCTTATCTGATGTATATCCCCCTGGGAGGGGGTTATAGTTGGTCGTTGTGATCAGTTCCCCATTTCTCCCCCCACCTTCCCCTTCCCCTCCTGGTATGGCTATTCTCAGTATTGGTCTCAAGGGGTTTATCTGTCCTAGATTCCCTGTGTTTCCAGTGGAGCTAGATCTTAAGACAAACTTCCAAACAGGCCCTTCTCTAGATTTCAGAGGGCCCTTTTCTGAATCTGCTGGAAGCTGTGGACAGTTTCCCTAGAACACTCCCCCACATGCTTAGAAGCTCAGGCACACCCCTTCCCCAAGCCCATTCACCTCTCTGGTTCCTTCTACCTCGGGTGAGACACCTGTGTTCTGTGTTGACTATGAAATCAGTTATTTCTCATGCTTAATGTTTGAATGCAAATGTGACACACACACACACACACACACACACACACACACACACACACACACACACCCATCGTCCTAAGAAAATGTTGTAGCTGTAAAGATTTAAAGTCCCCAAAGAGTTAAGGCACTGGTTCCCCCGCCTCCCCACAGGTAACTGTTTGCCAAGCCATGCTTCATGGCAGTGATTAGTGTAGCTGTCGGAGTAGGAAGGATGGAATGGATGGATGCTTCAATACTTGCTGCTTTGCAAAGTGCCCGGAGGGTGCTTCAAGAAGTGCATGGAAAATTTCCAGTATCTTTTCTTTCCATTTTTCCATGAACTTCCCAAAGTGCCCTCATCCTAACCTAACCAAACTAAAATCAGCAGGAAGGCAGGCTTGGGAACTCCTCCAGTTTCAGCGCTCAATAGAAAATGTGGATTTTCTGTGTTTGTGCTTCCAGGAGACGTGATGGCAGCATCCACCAAGGGCAAGGCTGCTTCTGCAGGTGGGTGAGAACGCCGGGTGAGGCAGTGATGGGAGCCAGCGGGGTTCTTGGGACCCATCACAGCCTCCCAGCATGGACACTGCACTACTGAGCCTTCCCTCCTTTGAGTGGGTCACTGAAGGCTTAGAGGGACCCAGGTGGAGAGCAGGGCAGTGGACAGACGTGGGCTTAGCTTGGAGGATGGTGCTTCCCAGCCCCCTGGCCCCTGCTCGGCACTCAGGCAGTCTGGTAAGCCCAGGGTCTCCCAAGAAGGCAGGAGAAGCGTAACATGAACCGGCTGTGGCTTCACAGAACCACTCAACACAGCCTTCGTGACGACGCTCTCAGAGCTTACAGAATTAGCATATGGCCCAGCAATTCCACTTGCAGGAAAATATCCAAATGAATGAAAAGCAGAGACTCAAACACACACTGGCACGCCACCATCCATTGCCTTGTTCCCAAGAGTCAAAAAGCAGAAACCACCCAAATATCCATCAGCCAACGAATGGATGAGCAAATCGTGGCCTCTACATCCATACATGGGGGGTTTACACATACATTCAAAACAAGAAATGAAGCCCCAACACCCACTGAGACATGGATGAATTTTGAAACTACTACGCCGAGTGAAACGTGCAGACCCAAGACCAATATGGCAGGGCCCCACTGACGTGCACTATCTAGACTAGGCAAATGGACAGGCAGAAGGCGGATTACAAAGGTCTGGAAGAGACGGTGAAGGAATCGTTGCTTAACAGGCATAGGGTTTGGTACAATAGATATGTGTTGAGTGTACTTCCAGGCACGCTGGGTTACGAGAAGCCGGGGTGCCCCCCACCCCCGCAGTGTGCAGTCCTTAAGTGCTTAGCTGCTAAGCAAGACATCGGCTGTCCAAATCTACCAGCCCCTCCGAGGTGTGGGAAAAGAGGTGGCAGTCTGCTCTGGTCCAGATGCACAGCCTTGGGAGCCTTCTAGGCAGTTCTATTTGGACCAAGAGGGTCGCTAGGAGTCAGAATCAGCGCATTGGCCGTGGGTATGGGTTGGGGTTGGGGCTATAAAGAAAGAACTGTGTGAACAGAGGCATAGAGACAGGCCTCTGGGTCTGGGTCTAACAACAGCTGGAGGACTGTGGCAGACCCACAGGCTAATAATAAGAAAGTTCTAGAACTCGTGCTGTAGGTCCCCAACCCTCAAAAACCAAGCTCAGGCCATCAAGTTGATGCCAACTCATCAAGACCCCATAGGACGGGGTGGAACTGTCCCCGGGGGGGTTCTGAGACGGTGACTCGTTACAGAAGCGACAGCTTCATCTCTCTCCCTCGGAGGGGCCGGTGGCTTCAAACTACTGACCTTGAGGTTAGTAGCCCAACCCATAGCCCACCATGCCACCAGGGTCCCAACTATGCTCTACATCAGCAGTTTTCAACCTAGGGGTCGCGGCCTCTTTGGGGGTCGAATGACCCTTTCACAGAGGTCGCCCGATTCATAGCAGTAGCAAAATGACAGTGATGAAGCAGCAACGAAAATAATGTTATGGTTGGGGGGTCACCACCACATGAGAAACCATATGAAAGGGTCGCGGCGGCATTAGGAAGGTGGAGACCCACTGTTCTACATCTTCCACTTTTTCTTTCCACTCATCCCATTTAATGCAACCCCCACCCTGTCGGAAGGGCAGCCCGTCAGTCACATTTTCTAAATGGAAACTGAGAGGGGTGCACAGCCAGGCCCGGGGCTGTCTTAAGCAGCCCTGCGATCACCCCTTCATGGAAGCACAGGTAGATCAAGACCTCCACGCGCAGGCCCTCGGGCCCAGCGAGTCAGCCAAGGCCAGAGCGTGGAAGGAAGCAAGTTCTCACCCCTCCCCTCTCGTCCACAGAATTCCATGGCTACGACCACCGAGGCGGTGGCGGTGGTGGCGGAGGTGGGGGAGGCGTGGCAGGGGCCGGAGGCCCATGGGGAGCAGTGCCTGCCTGGTGTCCCTGTGGCTCCTGCTGCAGCTGGTGGAAGTGGCTGCTGGGCCTGCTGCTCACCTGGCTGCTCCTCCTGGGCCTGCTCTTCGGCCTCATCGCTCTGGGTATGTGGCCAGGGTGGCGGGCGGCAGTCCCAAGTGTCACCAGGGCCAGATCCTTAGGGCAGCCTGCCCGAGCTCCAGAAGAAGCAACTGAGGGTCTGGGAGGTGCCCAGTCAAGGACACGCACCCACTTAGTGGCAGAGTCGGGGTGCAGAGCCGTATTCTGGTGCCCACACCTGCACTCGCTCTCCTTCAGCCATCTGCTTTAAGCGTCAGTTATTAAACCAGAGCCCTTTGAGGGATGCCTTTTGGAGGCACCCTTCTGTCTCTGGAGGGCCCTCACTCCATCCCCCGGGGGAGCAAGGAGGAGCTTGTATCCCCTCTCAGAGGACACTGACTCCCAGGCCAGCCTCCCGCCTCCCTGGCTCTGCCCCTGTCCTAGGACTGGGAGTAGCACTTGTCACAGCATAGCTACTCCAGCATGAGGTCCCAGGGGCCAGAAAGAGTCACCCTGGCCCCAGCACTCCCCACCTGACCCCGTGGAGTGGGGTCTGGGAAGGCCTCGGGCCAAGGCCCCAGTGGGTGACGGCGCCCTGGGTCTGTCTGTGGCAGCGGAGGAGGTGCGGAAGCTGAAGGCCAGAGTGGACGAACTGGAGAGGCTCAAGGCCAGCATGTCACATTTCGAGGAGCTGGAGAGGAGCAGCAAGGAGCGCCTCCTGGGGGCCAAGCCCGGGTTGGGGACGGGCCTGGGCACCGGGGCACTGGACAGCCACGGCCAGGAGGCACTCTGGGTATTCGTGAGGAACAGGCTGCAGATGGAACAAGAGAACGGTCAGTGTGCGGAGGGGTCGGGCCCATGCTCTCTGAGTTGATGGGCCCTGTGGGGTGTTGGGGGACACACGGGTCAGGGCACCCTTCCCTAAGTGCTGTCAAGAACCCTGCGCGGGAGGGAGGGGGCCACCAATAATGTGACCCCATTTTACTACTGGGAAAAACTGAGACCTGGGAAGGGGAATACCCCAAGGTGTCACAATTGGAACCATTCGGAATCTACGTCCAAATCCCGGTCTTGATCCCACCCCCTACCCCCACCCCTGTCGCCTGGGGCCCTTTGAGTGTTGTGGGAGGGACCCAGAAGGGACACTAACCTGGGACCCACTTCTTCTTGCAGGAAATCTCCTGGGAAACCCCGGGCCTAAAGGTATGGGCTGACTGACCTGGAACCCTGGCTGCCCTCACTCCTCTCCTCAGAGCTTGGGTCTCAGGAAGGATGGGAATTGAACCCCCTTACCACGTCTGTTGGGAGGGTTGGGGGTTGGCTCTACAGTGAGACTCTTTTGTCGAGGGAGTCCTCCAAGAGAGGTGCCAGGAGCCACCTGAGGGCACTGCACCCCATGATCTCTTCATGCTGAAATCACGCTCAGTCTCTTTGAAGATGCTCGGGACGGGGCAGACTCTTGGCGTCTTGCTTCATCTCACAGTTTGCATCTCTTTCTAATTTCAGGTGACATGGGAAGTCAAGGGCCGAAAGGTAAATAGGACATGGGAATCCCCCCTTAAAACACGAGTGAGCACGAGTGAGAGTTGAGAGTTGAAAGCAGTCGGTCCGAGCAGGAAGCTTGTCTCCCATGTGCGTTTCCACTGACTGCGGCAAGACCGGCGGTCGCTGAGCAGCCCCGGACCCCTGGGTTTGGGGAGGAGTGGACAAGGGGAGAAGAACGGATAGATCTAAAATGACAAGTTGAACGTTTATATATAAGAGATATTGCCCAACTAGTATAGAAGAATTTTTTTTTTTGTTAAAAGTAAGTAAGCAACGTTCATGTACTTCTAATTGCCCAACTCGAAATCAAGTTTTAACATATCATGTGTGGAAAAACCTTATTTCAAGAAGCTCATGTTAGGAAATGTTCTTAAAATAAGAAAATATAATGATCTGTATTTATCAGTAAACTTACACAGTTTTAAATTGCTAAGAATGGTGACTTCTTGGAAAATAGAGAACATTTGTGGGGAAAGATATGTAGCATGCTTGGGGAAAAACAGTTCAGCTGTTTATGCTTTTATAATAGAGAGCAGGGCTCTCCAGCTCTGGGACTGCTCCAGCCTCGCCCCTTCTCTGGTTCCAAGGAGACTCCCAGAATCAAGAGCCCTAAAGTGGTCTCCTTACGCCAAAGACCCTCGTCTCCCTCAGGCTCTAAAGGGTCATCTGAGAACCGGCTAGACCACAGCCACCTGGGGAGAGTTCTAAAACACCCCAGACCTCCTGAGTCAGAGGTGGGACTCCTGGGGTTAATTCTGATGACCCAAGCGAGGAGCCTCCTCAGCTGTGTTAGATGTGGGGGGCAGAGGGGAAGGAAACCCAGCAGTCAGAACTGAGCCCCCACCTGGGGCCTCCAGGGTAAGCCTGTCTCCCTGCCCTTGCGGGACTTCTGGTCTAGCAGGGGAGGCAGCCTATTAGCAGGAGAAAATCCATGGACAATCCTTGCTACATTGTGTGACACACTTACTTGACATGCTCTGGGAGCTGAATAGCTTTCCTGAGAAAAGTGATGGGGCAGGTGCCCAGGGAGGGAGAGGGGCCCAGGCGCCCAGCTGGCCCCAGAGCAGCCGGCTTTCCTGGATCTAGCCCACTGGGCTTCACGAACTTTAGTGTGTGTATAGGAGGGCCCAGAAGCTTCTGGGTCCCACTCTCAAGCCTCGGACTCAGTGGGGGTGGAGGTGGGGCTGAAGTGTGCATTCTCAGTAAGCAGGCAGGTGTGTGGTCCGCTCTGAGGGCCACAGCCCTGGGGCATGAGGTCGCCCCTTTTCTTCCCCGGCCCCAGGCTCTTTCCCAAAAGGCCGCAGCACAGGGATGGGGAGTCCTCCAATGGCTCTCCACTTTGCTCTGCTGTCTTCGTGACCTCCTAGGACACTCCCTTTCCCAAAGGCAGGGGCTTGAAGGCCCTGCCCGGCTGGGCCAAGCTGGGGAGGGGAGTGATAATTACAGAGCCCCTGAGTCTGATGAAATACAGGGCACTCAGGTAAATGTGAACTGCAGATGAACCACGAATCATTGTTTCACATTAGTATGTCCCATGAGATATTTTCCAGTCTCGGGGTGTGATACTTAAAGCTTGCTAGAAGTAGAGAGCCAGCAAAAAGAAGACAGTCCCTTGAGAAGATGGATTGGCACTGTGGCTACAACAATGGGCTCAAAAATAGGAACCATTGTGAAGGCAGCACAGCGTTTTGCTCTGCTGTGCCAGGGGCTGCTCTGAGTCGGAGCTCACTCGGTGGCACCCAACAACTTACACTACAGACATGGGCCTTGGTCATCTGTAGGGCACACCTACCTGGTCACTCTCTCTAGTTCATTTGCTTGAATTCCACCCTCAGAGCCTCTAGCCTAGGGAGTTGGGCCTTTGTCCTCTAGCTGATGTCTCCTTTTTATCCCTGTCCCTGCAGGTGACCGAGGACTCCCCGGGGCTCCAGGTACATCGCTGCCGAGGCCCTCCCTGCCTCCTTTAAGAACGGAGCTGCTCCGGCCTCGCTCCTGGCCTCCGGGAGGAAACCAGGGGCTGAGCTAGCCTTGTGTATCCATCCACAGGTATCCCTGGGCTCTTGGGCCACCCAGGTCCAGAAGGACCAAAGGGACAAAAAGGCAGTGTGGGTAAGAACCATTGTTTCTGTTCACTCATTCATTCAATAGTGAATGCCTGCTTTGTGCTAGGGAGGAGCTGGGGGAGGGGGTGGGGGGCAGTGGGTTAGTTGTTGGCTGCTGAGTAGGAGAAAGAGGCTCCCTGCTCCCATAGAGTTCGCATCTCAGAAACCCACGGGGCAGTTCTAGCCTGGCCTACAGAGGTTTCAGCCGCGGATCCCCATCAGAGCAATAAAGCGAGTATCCTTCTAGCAGTAAAGCAAGTAATAAGAAGGTTTGGGTTTCCCCGTGGGTCGAGAAAAGCTCTGTGTCCACCATAAGCGTGCAACAGCATGAAGGCAATGCTCCAACGACTGTGAGGATTGCCAGGACCAGACGGTGACCCAGAGACACGAACACCCAAGCACGGGCCGCTGGAAAAATGGCGCAGACGAGCTTGCTCAACCTGAAGCTTGTTAAATAAACCGCACTGCCTGCAAAGTGGGGGCCCTGGTAGAGTAGCGGTTAGATGTTGGGCTGCGATCTGTGTGGTCGGCAGTTCAAAACCACCAGCAGCTCCTCAGGAGCAAGACTGGACTTTCTACTCCTGTAAGCAGTTCTAGTTTTGGAAACCCACGGGGTCTCTGAGTCAGCATGGGCTCGCGGGCAGTGAGTGAGATCTGAGAAGTGGAGAAATGGCGGAGGTTGGCAGGGACGCTGGGCATACTTGCGGGCCATTCCCTGGGAATAGGCAGCTGGGGAGGCCCGCTTGTGTGAAGACGTGAAGGGAGTGAGGCGGCAGGGCTGGCGTGTGCCCAGCAGGCTCGAGGAGCAGCTCGAGGAGCAAGGCAAGTCACGTGCGGCCCCAGAAGGCCTTCGGCTTGTACTCGAATGAGTCCTGATGCCATCAGCAGGTTTGGGGCACAGTGGACTTGCATTTTTAAGACGCGCCCAGGCTTCTAGGAGTGGGAGCAGGGGGCTCCGTGAAGGGGCTCCAGACAAGCGTGCTGCCCGAGATGCCTCCGCTGGGCCCCTGAAGCTGATCTTTCTGTCCCTAGGAGAACCTGGCATGGAGGGACCCATGGGCCAGAGAGGGCGAGAAGGCCCCCCAGGCCTCCGCGGCGATCCAGGGCCCCCTGGGTTTGGCGAGAAAGGGGACAAAGGTGAGAGGAAGCTTCTTCCGCAGGAGGGTTAGAATACCCTCCCTTCTTCCTGCCCTGATTGAGCAGCCTCCTGGAGTCCAAGCTAAGCCCCCACGGACAGTGGACTGCTGATAGGCCCAAGCCTGGCTGCAAGGCCTGCCTGGGTCTTAGAGCCAGTCTGCCTGGACCTGAATCCACAGAGCAAATGGTCACAGGCAGGAAATGTGTTGCCCCACGTGGGGCAGTGAGGTCGGCTCTAAGAGGGGGAGTGGAGGGCGGGAAGGCTGGAGGACAGGCCTGAGCAGCTGGCCTTTACCCCTCATGGCGGGGAGGGGCGTGGGGGGGGCGCAGAAGGAGAGGAAGCCCTAAGCGGCAGACCTTGCACTGGAGGGATGGTGGAGCTTGTAAAAGGTGATTCTTATCCGTGCCTCTCTTGAGGACAATAAATCCAGACAGGAGGACATCTCTCAATGACAAAAGATGGCCAGCAGGAAGCCTGGTCAGCTAGGGAACTGAGGATTGAATGGCTCTGAGGTGTTGGGTCCCAGGGAACGTAAAACTTCTGGGGCAGACGCACACCGATCGGTGACCCCCCACCCCCACAGCGACGCCAAACAACCCAGAGACCACGAACAGGGTGGGAAGCATCATTGTCCCTTGACACAGCTATGCCCTCTCCCAAAGGGCTCACTCCACTGTTTCTCCCCAGGGGATGCTGGAGAAGCTGGACGTCACGGCCCACCTGGTGTCCCAGGTTCTGTGGGTCCCAAAGGTAAGGCAGGCTACACAGGGGTGGGGGTAACAGGTAAGGGGGCAGGTTCATTTCTAGAGTGGGCCACAGAGGCTCAGGCTCTGGGATCCCGCACAGCTCTGGCCCAGGGCCTCCAGTCTGTGGAGGGAGAGGGCTTCCTCAATGGAAGGATGGTTCCTTCGGGGCATCAGAAGCCAGGCAAATTTGAAGCCACCTCTCTGGACAGCCCAGGGTGAATGGGCCCTTCTCATGGCTCAGTGCCCTTCTGGTCCCCTCTCCTGCCTAGGAGTCTCTTGATCCGACCCAACTTCACAACAGAGGCGGTCACTCCTGGACCTGCTGACTTTAGGTGTCCAGGCAAGAACCCCTACCATGTGAGCGACACACTGTCCTCACCCAGAAGAGAGCTTCCCAGTCCCCATCCCACTTGCCCTTCGGAGCTCCCTGTGCCTGACCCCTTCGCTGACAACTGTCTCCTCTTCCTTCTCAGGTTCCAATGGTTCTCCTGGGCCTCAGGGACCCCCAGGTGAGCATGGGTCTCATTCTAAACACATGCTATGTGTGGGGCAAAGATAGGGGCCTTAAAGGAAAAGCCACAAAAGGGGGAGGGCTCCTAGAAAGACAAAACTCGAGTTCACCCGTGTGCCCACTGTGGCTACACTGAGGCTATGTTAGATCCTAGTGGGTCGTGTCCAGACCACTTGGATCTCACCTCTTCAGCAGCAGGAAGCTCTCCGCCTGCCAGAGTCTTAGCAGAGTGGTGTTTGCCTCTGCCTCGTTCCCTATGGACCAAAGAGCGCACCCTTCTGGTCACCTGGAGAATTTCAGCTGCGGCCCATACTGCGGACCAATGTCTCTGCCAGGGGACTACAAAGGGTTCTTGCCCAGGGCCTGCTCAACAGGAGGACAGGGAACCTGGACCAGGATGGTTTAGCTGGGCTGTGGGGAAGAGGGAAAGCAGCCCTTTGACTGTGTGTGTGTGTGTGTGTGTGTGTGTGTGTGTGTGTGTGT